CCAGTAATCTGGGAGTTCCCCTAGAGTCTCCCTTACCTCCTTGAATCAGGTCATCCCAGTTCTTGTGTGCTGAACCATGGTTGCACCCACTCTGCCACTCTTCTCCATTGGGATCTCATCATCTCTCTTCTGGCCTGCTGAAATAGTCTGCTCTCATCTGCCTGCCTCTTTCCCTTCTAATCCATTTTCCACATTGCTGACAGCAAGATTACATTCTCATAACCAAATCTAATCATGTCCCTTTCCTGCCTTAAAATTTCTCCATTGCCTGTAGTAGCATCTCTCACCAAGATGTTCTGTGAGTTGTTGATAAGTATTCCAAGACAAAGGGGGTTGTGATATACATTTGTATATTAACAGATATAAAAAAATCTGTTTAGCAGGTCTGAAAATTCCTGTTGCTTCGTGTAACTCAAGATTTCTTCTCGTTACCTTGGAAGTTGGGACCCTTTATCCTCCTGGGTAGTCCCCAGTCACAGTTTGGGGATTGCTGGCCCTTCAGGCTAATACTGGCATCATGCACAAGGCCTTTCATGAAGGAGCTGACTCGTCTGCAGAGTATCTCTTTCTGCACTGCAGTGCTGATGCTCAGTACCTAAATGACTCACCTGCCTGCCTTGGGTCCCACACACAATGACTTAGCAAAGATTATACTGTTGTCTGATATATTTGACAAGCTCTCTTCATCTTTTGAGACTCATTTAAAGACTTACCTTTTCTTTATCTCATTTTCTCTAATTAGACTTTATATTTATTATAAATTACAAACTAAACATGCTCATTGAAGAGACTTTGAAAATCACAGGAAAAGATTATTAAAATAATCCATAATATTATATACCAAAAATAAAAACCCATTAACATGTTTATATGCTTCTGTCCAGTCTTGTCTTAGTGCATACTGATATGCTGACATACACCAACTTACCATGAGGTTATCTACAGAGATAGATGTAGATACATATTTACATTGAATAATATGATATACCAGTTTATATCCTGCTCACTCTCTTTTATTCAAACTTAACATTATATCATAAGCTTTTTCTCATGTCATTAATTATTTTTGGGAGATGCCATTTTGTAAGGATATGTAATTTTCCATTGTATAAAGGCACCAGAACTTATATAACTATACTTCTACTTTTGAACACTTAAGTGTTTCTCTGATTAGTTATTAATACAAGAAATACTGCAGTGATTGTCCTTACTACATAAATCTTTGTTTACATTTCTATTTTTCCCATGATTAGCTTTCTGGAATATAAATTACTACTCAAAAAGAATATAAACTTTTAATCCTCCCTTTAGAATTTTCCCATAGACTTCTTGACACTCTTCCATTGTGACCTGCTAGTGTTTTTGTTCACACTTCCAAATGTAGAACTCATCACCATGTGTTGTGGTACTGTCTCTCTCAGTTGAAAACATATTGTGTGTCTGGTAAGGCCGTGTCTTTTGATTTATCGTCTGCACTCAGAATCGGCACAATACCCAGCCTGGTTGAATAAGTTATTCTTATTTATTTTAGCATTTCATAAAATTCAAAAGAATTTATAAACATGCGCATTTACATTTATGTTTATGCCTTTCTCGTTGACAGGATGGTATTTTGGGCGCAGTTAATCATTGTCAAAACACTGTGTTATCAGTTCCTAATCTCGTGCCTGATTCGTATTTTGATGCTTTCACCAGCCATATATTAACAACAAGCTTGAAGAAAAAACCTGTGGAACTGGGCCAAGTTTAGCAGCAGTATTCGAGGATGATAAGAATTTTCACACAATTATTTCTCAAATAAAGGTATATTTACTCTGACTAAAACTATTTTATAATATTCTCAATTTTTATGAAATTAAGTAATATATATTTTTTCTTTCTTATCTCTAATTGTTCTGTATGTGAAAATTGGCATGTGCCTAATCTCTAAATGGTAAAATTTGAAAATAATATTTGTTCTCTAGAAATTGTCCTGTTGAGCATGAAATAATTTTTTTAAAGTATTAAAATAGGGCCCAGCATAGTGGTTTACACCTGTAATCCCAGCACTTTGGGAGGCTGAGGCAGGCAGATCACGAAGTCAGGAGATAGGGAACCATCCTGGCTAACACGGTGAAACCCCATCTTTACTAAGAAATATAAAAAATTAGCCAGCCGTGGTGGCAGGTGCCTGTAGTCCCAGCTACTTGGGAAGCTGAGGTAGGAGAATAGCGTGAACCTGGGAGGCAAACTTGCAGTGAGCTGAGATCACGCCACTGCACTCCAGCCTGCATGACAGAGTGAGACTCCACCTAAAAAAAAAAAAAAGGCGTTAAATATCTGGAGAAACAGTTACTTATCATTAGCGATCCATGTGCACGTGTTTTTGGGAAAGTAATCCTGGCTGTTGAGGATGCCACTGTCGCCTCTTCCTCTCTCTCTCTTCCTATCCTTCATCTGCCTCTTCTCCCTCCACTATAAATATTCTGTCAGCCTCACTCAGCTGTAGCATCCTCCACCTTTCCTTTCATCTCACTCCTCTTCCCTTCCTCTTCCCTTCTAAGTCTCCTCCTCAAAACCCTCTCATGCCTCTTCCACCTCTCAGAATAATTACATCTTTGCCACCTCTACATCATCTCTTCCACTCTCTCCTACTCTGCTCTCCTGCACCTCTCTGTATCAAAACACTCCAATATGTTCCTCATCTCTCTCTCTGCTGTTTCTTCACATAATCTCATGACCTCACTTCAGCCCCCATTGTAATCCTCTTCAGTCCTCTCTTTCTGTTCTCTCTTTCTTATCCACCTGCATTGCTCTTATTCATCCACCTCTCATTCCCTCTTTCTCTTATTCCACTCTTTCTCTTCGCGCGCGCGTGCGGCATCATCAAAATCTGTTCTCTTCTAATATTAAAAATCGTAAATCACAGTCTCTCTTACCTCTTCTTCCGTAACAAGTCTAACCTCTTTCTGCCCCATATCTTCTCTCTCTTCATCTCCAAGCCTCTCCCTCAGCCTATTCATCACTCCTCTTCTTTGGAAGTATTTCTTTCTCTTCATTCTCTCACGAAACCCTAAAGCCCTGCAAACCTCTGATATCTTTCTTCATCATCATCTTCATCTCTTCCCTTTATTTCATCCATCTTCGTCACGCACTCGGGCATCTTTCTCTCATCTCTGCCCCCTCTCTTCAAATGCAGCTCTCTCAACTCCTGCCCCTCATCTCTCTCGCATATCACCTTGCACGCCTCTCTGGTGCACTGAGAAGAAAAATCTCTCTCTCTCTCTCTCTCTCTCTCTCTCTCTCTCTCTCTCTCTCTCTTTTGAAACAGGGACTCACTCTGTCACCCAGGCTGGAATGCAGTGATGTGATCTTAGCTCACTGCAGCCTCAACCTCCCAGGCCCAAGCAATCCTCCCACCTCAGCCTCCTGAGTAGCTGGGACTACAGGTGTATGCCACCAGGCCTGGCTATTTTTTTTTAGAGATGGGTCTTTGCCGTGATGGCCAGGCAGGTCTTGAACTCCTGGGCTCAAGTGATCTGCTTGCTTCTGCCTGCCAAAGTGCTGGCATTGCAGGTGTGAACCACCATGCCCAGCCTGTAAATACCATTTTTGAAATCTTTTTAAAGGTATGCTGGATCCTAGAGAATTTTGTTGTCTTAGTTATCTATAGCAGTGTAACAAGTTACCACAAAGTTAGCAGTTGGAAACATCCTCCATGAATCATCTCAGTTTCTGTAAGTCAGGAGCTTCACTGGCTACTCAGATTATCCTCTATTTCAAGGTCTTGGTCTCCCTTAGACTGCTGGAAGAATTCAGCTCTAAGCAACTGTAAAGACTGGGATCCCCATTTCCTTAAGGGGTGTCAGCCAAGGACCACCCTACTTAGGTCCTAGAAACCATCTGTAGTTCCTTGCCATGTGGCCCACTCTCTCAGCAGCTTACAATATGGCTGTTCACTTCTTCAAGGCCAGATGGACCATTCTCTTAGGAAGGCCTCAATCCCTCTTTTAAGGGCTTTCACTTGATTCAGTCACATCTATCAAGGATAATCACTTTTGACTAACTTGAAAACTGAGTTGGGCCCCTGCAATATCCCCCGACCTTTGCCGCATCACATAACCTAATCATGGGACTGGCATCGCATTATATTCACAACTCTCACCCACACTCAAAACGAGGGGATTGAACAGCATGTGTATACAGGGGCAAGAATTTTGGGGGTCATCTTAGAATTCTGCCTCCTATATTTGCATAGGTGCATAGGTTAGTAAACCAGTCAAAGTCTGTATCTTCTGTTGTTAACTGCTGTACTCTGATTCAAAAGCACTAGTAATCAAGATCTCTAGATTTTAGTCTTGGCTTTACAATTAATAAGCTATTTGACTTTGGGAAAACCACTTCTGGGGTTCAGTTTCTGCATTTATATGATGAGAAGGCATATGAGTTGTAGCGTTGCTTCCTCTTCCAGCAGTCTATGATTCTGTAATTTATGGGATAGGCAGTTTGAAGGCATTTACAATGACAAACAGACTACTGAGGTACCTGTGATTGGAAGCTTTCTCAGGAGCTCCCATGCCAAGAGGCACTGGACTCTCATGTCCCCTCCTGGCCACAAGACTCATGTCCTTCACATGAGATGCAGGTGTCCTGGACTGCAGATGACAAAAGGAGGCTCTCTCACAAGCAGCTGGCTGTCTTTTACCCCCAAGGGGTGGGCCTCAAAAAACTGAATACGCTTCCCATTTCCTATTACAGGACCCTGTTTCCCACGTGGGTATTTTTAACTTCTACATATGAAACATACATGGCCAAGCTTTGGGAATAATTAACATGCTTGTCCATCCATACCAAAATAAGATTTTATTTCATATAACCCAAAAATCAGACAATAGAAGTATAAATAGGACTATTATTCATAAATTTTCAATTTTTTCACTACAATTTTAGTCATTAGCCTTAATCATTCCCAATGATTCCAAACACACATACATACAGAGATTAATCTAAAGGAAAATTATATACCTAAGTCATGATCTCTTACTTTGCTCTTGCTTAGGTTACCTATGGTTTCCTAACACTTGATTCAATATATACTTTTGAATTCTAATATTTCTTGCTGTGTGAGACAAACCTCCCATTGCATTTGATTCTGTTTACTGCTTCTGCTAATTGAAATAGACTCCTCCTTTGGTTTAATTGAAATAGACTTCTCCTTTGGTTTAATTGAAATAGACTCCTCCTTTGGTTTCTATTTCTGTAGCAACATTTTTTCCTTCTCAGTCATCTTTCCAAGAGCCTCTTTTATATCTATAGATCCAATACTTTTCTTTTAAGTCTCATTCATGGTCATCTGGAAATCTTCACCTGAATGTCCCACAGTTAACTTCAATTCACCAATATGAATGGAACTTATCAATTTCTTCGAAAACTTGCTCCTCCCTCCCTGTCTCCATCTCAATGAAAGGTGCCCCAGCCAGCAGTCTGGGAGTTCTCCTAGATGCCCAGATGCCCAAGCCAGTAATCTGGGAGTTCCCCTAGAGTCTCCCTTACCTCCTTGAGATCAGGTCATCAGTTCTTGTGTGCTGAACCATGGTTGCACCCACTCTGCCACTCTTCTCCATTGGGATCTCATCATCTCTCTTCTGGCCTGCTGAAATAGTCTGCTCTCATCTGCCTGCCTCTTTCCCTTCTAATCCATTTTCCACATTGCTGACAGCAAGATTATTCTCATAAGCAAATCTAATCATGTCCCTTTCCTGCTTAAAATTTCTCCATTGCCTGTAGTAGCATCTCTCACAAGATGTTCTGTGAGTTGTTGATAAGTATTCCAAGACAAAGGGGGTTGTGATATACATTTGTATATTAACAGATATAAAAAATCCTGTTTAGCAGGTCCTGAGAAAATTCCTGTTTAACTTCGTGTAACTCAAGATTTCTTCTCAAATTTACCTTGGAAGTTGGGACCCTTTATCCTCTGGGTAGTCCCCAGTCACAGTTTGGGGATTGCTGGCCCATGGGCTAACACTGGCATCATGCACAAGGCCTTTCATGAAGGGGCTGACTGTGTCTGCAGAGTATCCTCTTTCTGCACTGCAGTGCTGATGCTCCAGTACCTAAATGACTCACCTGCCTGCCCCTTGGGTCCTACACACAATGACTTAGCAAGGATTATACTGTTGTCTGATATACTTGACAAGCTCCTCTTCATCTTTTGAGACTCATTTAAAGACTTACCTTTTCTTTATCTCATTTTCTCTAATTAGACTTTATATTTATTATAAATTACAAACTAAACATGCTCATTGAAGAGACTTTGAAAATCACAGGAAAAGATTATTAAAATAATCCATAATATTATATACCAAAAATAAAAACCCATTAACATGTTTATATGCTTCTGTCCAGTCTTGTCTTAGTGCATACTGATATGCTGACATACATAACTTACCATGAGGTTATCTACAGAGATAGATATAGATACATATTTACATTGAGATAATATGATATACCAGTTTTATATCCTGCTCACTCTCTTTTATTCAAACTTAACATTATATCATAAGCTTTTTCTCATGTCATTAATTATTTTTGGGAGATGCCATTTTGTAAGGATATGTAATTTTCCATTGTATAAAGGCACCAGAACTTATATAACTATACTTCTACTTTTGAACACTTAAGTGTTTCTCTGATTAGTTATTAATACAAGAAATACTGCAGTGATTGTCCTTGCACATAAATCTTTGTTTACATTTCTATTTTTCCCATAGATTAGCTTTCTGGAATATAAATTACTACTCAAAGAATATAAACTTTTAATCCTCCCTTTAAATTTTCCCATAGACTTCCTTGGCTTTCCTTCCATTGTGACCTGCTAGTGTTTTGTTCACACTTCAAATGTAGAACTCATCACCATGTGTTGCAATTTTTTTGTCTCTCTCAGTTAGAAAACATGTGTCCTGAAGGTAGGGCCGTGTCTTTTGATTTGTCGTACACTCAGAATCAGCACAATACCCAGCCTGGTTGAATAAGTTATTCTTATTTATTTTAGCATTTCATAAAATTCAAAAGAATTTATAAACATGCGCATTTACATTTATGTTTATGCCTTTCTCGTTGACAGGATGGTATTTTGGGCGCAGTTAATCATTGTCAAAACACTGTGTTATCAGTTCCTAATCTCATGCCTGATTCGTATTTTGATGCTTTCACCAGCCCTTATATTAACAACAAACTTGAGGAAAAAACCTGTGGAACTGGGCCAAGTTTAGCAGCAGTATTCGAGGATGATAAGAATTTTCACACAATTATTTCTCAAATAAAGGTATATTTACTCTGACTAAAACTATTTTATAATATTCTCAATTTTTATGAAATTAAGTAATATATATTTTTTCTTTCTTATCTCTAATTGTTCTGTATGTGAAAATTGGCATGTGCCTAATCTCTAAATGGTAAAATTTGAAAATAATATTTGTTCTCTAGAAATTGTCCTGTTGAGCATGAAATAATTTTTTAAAAGTATTAAAATAGGGCCCAGCATAGTGGTTTACACCTGTAATCCCAGCACTTTGGGAGGCTGAGGCAGGCAGATCACGAAGTCAGGAGATAGAGACCATCCTGGCTAACACGGTGAAACCCCATCTTTACTAAGAAATATAAAAAATTAGCCAGCCGTGGTGGCAGGTGCCTGTAGTCCCAGCTACTTGGGAAGCTGAGGTAGGAGAATAGCGTGAACCTGGGAGGCAAACTTGCAGTGAGCTGAGATCACGCCACTGCACTCCAGCCTGCATGACAGAGTGAGACTCCACCTAAAAAAAAAAAAGGCGTTAAAATATCTGGAGAAACAGTTACTTATCATTAGCGATCCATGTGCACGTGTTTTTGGGAAAGTAATCCTGGCTGTTGAGGATGCTGAAACACAATCAGAGCCAGGGTGACTCACCAGCCAACACAATGTCTTTTACTAAAGTCATTTTTCATTACATGTTTAATGTTTTATTAAAACAAAAACATGGTGTTTCACTATTTGGGGCCCTTTAGAAAATAAATATAATGGCATCTATCCATAGCCACTCAAATGCAAGCACTAACTAAAGCATGCTTGAAGACTTCGAAAATAGTATTCTACACATAAAAGTTTTATCTTAGTTGTCCCAATTTTTAAACTCAAAAGCACACTTACCAAGGTGATTGACGTGAGACGGTAAAGAAACAAGCATTATTCCTTGGCTTGCTTCTCTCCTACATTTCTGAGTAACCTAATCTCCTGTGTGGAAAAATAGGAACGCGGCCCTCAAAATACTGCAAATACCTTTTCTTCTTGACACCAAAATGATACTGTAATTTTCAAACTTAAAATTTACCCATTTGTCAGTCATAAATATCCGTTATATATACATTCCTATGTAACTTAACATTAGCATAGTGTTTCAATCTCTTTATTCATCAAAATATGGTTGTAACTGTCATGGTATGATTTTAAAAACAAACAACATTTTCCATCTACTACTGTCTCTGCTTATGGTGGAATTCTTATTCTCAGCTACATTATTTTAAATCATCAATTCAAAAGTTGTAAGCTCCTGCCATGTTGGTTTGGCCTCTTTCATAATTTTAACTTTGCAAATTGACTCCATGTATGTTCTAATTCTAAAATTTCATCCTAGATTTTTGTGTTTTTTGCATTAATACTTATACTAAGGAGGATATTCCACAACCTTATTTCATTTACTAACTACCAGATTTTCTGGTACCAAAATAGTTTTCTGATTCATCAACTTTCTCTCCCTTAGACAATTATTTTTTTAAATTATGACTATAACATTTGTAATTAAAAGTTATATTTTCAATTCAGAGAGCCAAGGATAATTGCAACTGTCTAAATATGAATCACCCACATATCTTCCAAAATTAGTAAGAACCTACAAGAAAAAGAAATAAAACTAAACAAAATTTATACCCTTAGGAAGTAGCTGAAAGAAAGAGAATACCCAAGTGTCAAATTACCTCTGAGAAGAAAAATAAACATATACACCAATGAGCTTTCTTCCTCATGCTCCTGCCACAGCCTTTGCAGACAGTGAGGCCAGTCCTTGGGAGATCTACAAAAGAGAGAAGCAAGGAGCTAGCAGTTAATCTAAGAAGCTGAGGTTAATCTAAAGTCACAGCCAGAAAGAAGCCTATCCTACATGCAAAAATGATTTTAAAAAGTCCTGGTGTATCAGAGGACTGACTACAGGAAGGAGACTTAAAAGTGAAGGCTACTCAAGATGCCATTAGTTCTGGGGGAGGAAATAAGGTTAAAAATAAAAATTAAAAAGTTTTAAAAATTTCTAAAGAGGATGAGGCATTATATGAACATTGGATGGTGCAGAGAAAACGAAGCAACTACTGAAAATGTAAGTTCTGTAAAACAAAAAAGAACCTATTTGGGAGGCTGAGGTGGGAAGATTACTTGAGCTCCAGAGGCAAAGGCTGTAGTGAGCCAAGATCATGCCACTGCACTCCGGCCTGGGCAGCAGAGCAAGACTCTGTCTCAAGAAAAAATCAAATAAATGAGAGTATATCCAACTTTTTTCCTGTCACCATAAAATAAAATAAAACATATTTCATTTTGCTCCACTGACAGAACAGAATGCTCTTGAACTAAAAATCTTATAAATCACCCAATCCCTGAGCTAAAGAAATTAAAATAGATTAACTACATGCAAGTCTACTAACAACCATAAAGCAAAAACAACACTACACACTGAAGTAAATATTCTCAAAGAAGCATTCAAATATACAAAAAGCCACAATGAATTAAAAATTAAAATTTAAAAATATAAATGGAAGGGAAAAAAGATGAAATCATCTCAGAAATGAAGACTAAATTACACAGTGCTCAAAGGAGAATAAGGTTAAGAGTTTAACATGACTAGAAGAATGATGGGAAACCAAAGTAATGAGTATAGAAGAAAGATAAGAAAACAACCAAGAGAATGAATGAAAATAAGATCGAGAAATCAGTAAAGTGGTTCAGAGAGAAAATAATTATAATGGAAGACAGGCAAAGAAGAAATAACATACATATAATTGGTGTGTCTGTAAGAGAAAAACAAAAGAAGAGGATACAGCAAACATTTATTTATAACTATAGTTCAGGAAAAGAAAATTTGAATGTATATATCGAAAGGGCCTACAGAGTTCCTTGGAAAATTACCCACAACAATCAACTCTGAGATATAGCCTTTTAAAATTATTAGATTTTAAGGCTAAAGAATTTTTCTGCAGGTGTTACAGAGACAAGAGAATTAGACTACCATCAGACTTCTCAAAAACAACATAAGAAGTAAGGCAATAATGTAGGAGCAATTTAAAAAAAAAAACCCCATGGAAAGAAAATGTGCATCAAGAATTTTATCTAGCCAAGCTAGTCTTTTAAGTATCAAGGCTATACAAAAATAGTTTTCAACATGCAAGAACCCAGGGAATTTGGTACTCATTAGGAATCTACTACACGATGAGTTTCATCCAGCTAAGAAATAACTTTGGGGGAAAAAAGCTGATGCTGGTAGGGAACATTTAACATATTTAATTGTAGATCTATATGAGCCTTTAAAAAAAGATAGAGACAAGAATAGGAAACTAGTATATAAATGTACATTCTAATGAAGTTGAAATAGTGCAATTTTAAAAATAGAGAAGGAAGAGAATAAGAGAAAAGTAGAATAAGGTTATTGATTAATGTACAGTTAATAGGCTGGAATTAAAGAATATCAGTAAAAACCAACAAATCAAAGTATGAAAGGTTAATAAGGAAACAAGTGACTAATGGTATTTTTAAAAAATATATTGTCACTCAGAGAAAGAAAGAAAGAAGCACACATACAACCATAAATCAAAGTATGAAAGGTTAACAAGGAAACAAGTGACTAATGGTATTTTTTAAGGTATTTTTAAAAAATATATTGTCACTCAGAGAAAGAAAGAAAGAAGCACACATACAACCATAAGACACATAGAAAATAATATGACCAAGTTGGAACCAAATATATCAGTAATGTGATGAATATAAATGAGCTCAATTCATCTATTAAAAGAAAAAGATTTTCAATTTGGCTCCCAAGGCAAGACAAAACAATATTCTGGATACAAGAGAGAAATCCAAAACAAAATGATTCAGAAAGGTTAACAATGAAAAGATGCTCAATGTTGTAGGGGCAAATGTAAACAATAAGAAAATGGGGCTTGTAATCCTATGAGTCAGGGATCCTTAATGCCAGATGCTATGATTTGCTAAGAGACCTCACAGGACTCAGTGTATAATTTTACTCATGGCTATGATGTGTTACGGTGTAAGGATATAAAACAAAATTAACAAATGGAAAAGGCACATGGGATAAAGTTCAGAGGAAACCAGGCACAGCTTCCAAGAATCCTCTCCAGTGGAGTCACACAGGAGGCATTAATTCCTCCAGCAGTGGATTTTGACAACACAAATGAAATATCACCTAGCAGGGAAGCTCATTAGAGTCTCAATAATGAAGGTTTTATTTGAGGACTGGCTTCTTTTCGGTACAATGATATATTTTCCTTTGGGTATTGATATGGTTTCGCCATGTTCCACCCAAATCTTATCTTGAATTGTAGCTCCCATAATCCCCAAGTGTAGTGTGAGGGACCTAGTAGGAGGTAATTGAATCATGGGAGCGGGTTTTCCCGTGCTGTTCTCGTGATAGTGAATAAGTCTTATGAGATCTGATGGTTTCATAAAGGGCAGTTCCCCTGCACATGATCTCTTGCCTGCTACCACTTAAGATGCACCTTTGCTCCTCCTCTGCTTTCTGCCATGATTGTGAGGCCTCCCCAGCCATGTGGAACTGTGAGTCCATTAAACCTCTTTTTGTTTATAAAGTACTTAGTCTTGGGTATGTCTTTATTAGCAGTGTGAGAACAGACTAATACATGTACATACCCAATAATGGGATTGCTGGGTCAAATGGTAGCTCTGTTTTAAGTTCTTTGAGAAATCTCCAAACTGCTTTCCATAGTGGATGAACTAATTTACATTCCCACTAATTGTGTATAAGCATTCCCTTTTCTCCATAGCCTCCCTAGGTATGGAGAAATAACTACTATTTATTAGCTTTATAATAGCCATTCTGCCTTGTGTGAGATGGCATCTCATCATGGTTTTGATTTGCATTTCTCTGATGATTGGTGATAATTAGCATTTTTTCATATGTTTGCTGGCTGCTTGTATATCTTCTTTTGAGAAGTGTCTATTCATGTATTTTGCCCAATTTTTGATGAGGTCATTTGTTTTTTTGCTTGTTGATT